AGGGATATTCTCTGTCCAAGCGCAATTTAAAAATTTCATATTCAGCTTTCCAGACAAGTGGAGTACCCACGTACGGGTATGTGAAGGGTTTGGCGGGGAAATCGCTAACTCGGTATCAGAAAAGCTGGAAAGCTGAAGTTTCGGAAGGATGTTCCCTGTCCAAGTACAGTTTAAGTGTTTCAGATTCAGCTTGAGGTATGCGTGGTTCTTACGTACGGTCAATTAAAAGTCTTGGCGGAAAAATTCCTTACTGAACAACTGGGTTACTTTTAAAGGACGGCTATTAATTGGAAATTGTACATTTACTTTGCAAAAATTTATGGTGATTTATGCTAGTGACCGCAACAGCCATTCATACAGTTAATGACCTGAGTAATTCAAATCCGGTGCAAAAACGCATGATCGTACGGGCCCGCTCGGTGCGTTCCAGCCTGGGTTACTAATTTGCATTTTATCTCTGTTTCTTTGTTTGTTCATTGTACATTCTGCCTAGAGTTCAAGAGATTTCATGCCTATTAATTTTTATTAATATTGCAGCGCCAAAGCTTGCTCACGGATGAGAGACAAAAGCTAAATGGAAGGCTGAGATGTAATTTTTTTAACAACCTACTTGCTGTGTGAAAATGACATTTAGCGGCGATAATAACAAATGCTAGTAATTCTGTCTTAGATAGCAACTCGTAACTTCGGCTTCTGGGCGCTCTTCTACGATAGCGAAGCTCGAAAAAAAACCACAATTTCTAAAACAATAACGTAGAATGCAAAAGATCGAGCACGTAGGCGTCTTTATTAGTCTTTTTTGAATTTCTCGTTCGCACAAAAATGTCCAGAGGATGGACATTACAAGTTTGGTTGTAGTGGCATGTAGCAGTATTCTCAGTTTAAGGGTCTCGGCTTCGTAATTGCTAGTTTCCTCTGTTATTTCATTCATTTCTTTCATTGGTAAATTGGTACTGAAGCACATATCATGGAGTCAAAACTACGACCGTGTTGCTTTTAAACAACGAAAGGGAAGCAACCGACAGTTTCATCAATGTTTGGTTGGTATCGGCTGAGGAGAGGATGAACATTATTGTAGCTCGTGCTCAGCGCATTCTCCTTTATCGATGCGGATTCGAATAATATCAGAGAAATGATGCAAACTGGAGGCATATCTTTAGCCATATTTCAAGTATACGGTTTTGACTTGGAAGAAACTGACAGTTACATCTATTTTTGGCGAAGAAGTAAATATGCGCCACCGTCTTAAGCCAGTAATTGCACATAGAGGGACTGCAGATTGACGCAAATTCCATAGCATCATCAAGATCCTCGAAGTACTGAACTGAAAAGCCACATTCACCTATTCAGTACCACTGTGCTGAAGGCAATGACGTACGAGTGCGGAACGGATCAGTAAAAGAAGTTGAAGAGCGAATGTTGTTGCCACTTCCTATTGGCGACTTGCAGCCGGCAAAGCAGGTTACTTCGGTAATTTAAATAGCAGTTCTTTTTTTCGATACTTTACACCTCCAGTATATTTGGCTGCTTTTTAGCTTTCCCGGTCTGCTTGATTCCAAGTGTTTGGCATTCATGCGATGCCGTAGTGCTTACCATTAAAAAACTCCTAATGTTAGCCGTTCCAGTACTGCATGATGCTATTTAGCGCTTCATACTGACCTTCCATTATCCTGTTTTGGGTTAATAATCAGGTTATTCTTTTTCCATTAAATTCGAAATGCGTGAAAACCACTCTGATAAATATGGTTGAGGACTTTGCAACCGTTAAAAACCGGACCTTGCACACAAGTAGAAAATGTTTATGCATCAGAAACGACTTGTAATCCGTACCATTACATCAAAAGCAAAACCTTTTTCGTATTCACTTTCTTTGTGAGGCGGTGACACGTGAAAGCTGTCCAAAATGGTCCAGGACGGCCTGATCGAGGAGGAGGGGAGGGGGAGCAGTGAGAGTAGCTGAAGAGTTTTCTTCAGTTTTAGCCTTAGACTCAGACCTTTATAGTACTGGTTTCTGTGCTGCTGGGGGAAGGAGGACGAAAGGCCCTACTTCCCCCCCCCC